GGTGCTCTTCGAGCCATAGGCCTGGGCCAAGTTCTTTTCTCTGAACCCAAATTCTGAATCCAAATTTTTTTTTCATGTAATATTATTTATCTTGGAGGAAGACATTAATTTGTAACGAACCCAGTGCTTTTGTGCAAGAATTGAGTCTGGGGCCCATCCTGACCTAACTGGGAGGCCAGCCCCACCTTGGTCTTGATGGCCGCTGGAGGTCCCTTCCCACCAGCCCAGGGTTTTGGCTCTGGGTTTTGCAGAGTCATGGGGGGGGGAGGGGAACTTCAGACAAAATGCCGAGGTGGCCTCTGCCCGTTGGTGACATTTCCCAAAGTGTGGCACAGCATCGTCTCGGCAGGAGCACTGCTGAGGTGGAAGGATGCGTTGCCTCATCTTCCACGCGCCCGTGCACAGACGAGGGTCGGGCGCTGCTGGACGTTGCCCGTGCCGAGCGCGAGCTCCGCCGTGTGCCTAGGGCAGCGGTTGGGCAGTGGCCGTGCCTGGAAAAAGCAGGAGAAGCCGAGGAGCAGTCTGGGACGTGGGGCTGTGCTCACCCGCTCCAGCCCGCGGTGCCGCCTGGGGAGGGGAGCAAAGATGGGGCAACGCGCTTGCATTTTACCCCGGCAGGATCAAAACCCGAGCACAGCGAGTCCCTTGTTTCAGTTCCAGCAGGTGGGGGGAGGAACAAGCTGGCAGCCAGGAGCAGAAAATAGCATGATCTCCATCTCAGTCCTCACTCGTGGTGTCAGGGAGGATTCGTGGCTTAAAGGGGGCTCCTGACCACCTCGTTAGTCCAAACATTCTGCTGTTGATGGCTGTGGGTGCAGGCAGGGCTGCAGAGACCCCCTCCCTGCTCTGTCACCGCAGCCTGGAAAAGCCAAAATCCTTCAGCCGGCAGCCGGACACTTTCCGAATGGAATATTTTCTCCTTTAGAAAATGGGGACGTGACAAAAATAAGAATGTTCCACTGAAAGGATAATTTTATCAAACCTCCCCATGGAAAGCAGGCAGGCGTCCCAGCCCACTGACCCTGCCGGCTTTGGTGCCCGTACCGGCGTGTGCCCGGGGAGGTGGGCAGCCCCCGACCGTCCGGCTCCGCGCGGGGTCTTGTGCGGCCCTGCGTGTGTCTGGACGTGTGAAACTTGGCTGGATGCAGAAAGGAGCTGGGGAGGGAAAAGGAAAAACCTGACTTTAGGGGCAGATACGGTCAGCCTGTGCTTTAGCTTTAACCCACAGCTCGTGCGTGGCTCCTGAAGGAGAGCTCGTCCTGCCGTTACCTGTGCCGGCATTTGGGGCGATGGCTGTGCGCGGATCCGCTCCCTCTGGCATTTGGCCGGTTGCAGCCAGAACGTAGTGGGTGCCACGCTGCCGTGCCGGGGAGGACCGGCCGCATCCCGGACCTGCCGAGTCAGAGGGGCACTGCCCTCCGGAGCCAGCTCCCAGGGTAACTTGAATTTAAACCTAAACTAGGTCAGCTGGTTTTCAGTTCAAAGTTTTGTTTGCTTTCAGAGCAGGTGTAGGGTTTTCATGGCAAGAATTGGAATGTCATTAGAAATTTCTGAAAGGCTTTTAAGGAAAACATGATAACGAGCAAAGGCGGCGTTTTAATCCCTCTGCGTGTGCTGGGATGAGGAGGTGGTTTGCTGGTCTGTTTTTAATTAAACAGATATTTTTGCCCCTGAAAGCACCTTCCCAAGTTTCCCTCGCCCCAGGCAGCTCCAGGTCTCATACCTCCTTCCAGGGTTTTGCCACGAATGTTGGCATGTGGCTGACGAGGCGCACGCAGGCTGGGCCCGGCCGAAGGATGGAGAGCGGCTGGGCCTTCATCCCAGCGCCGGGAAGGCGGGGGCCGGACTCCAGAGCCTGCCCTCCCCTGTGCCGAGATCCTGCTCGGCATCACTAAGCAAATCCCCCCTCTGCCTTATCTCTCCACTTGTAACAGCAGCTGCCCCTATAGCAAATGTGCTTTCAGGAGCTGTGTTCCAGGCTTTTATTAAACCCTCAATGAAAAACGCAACAGCAGCATTAAGCGTTGTTTGATTTTGATATGCTCAAGCTATAAAATTATACTCAATTAGCAGCCTTTTTCCTTAATGGAGGTTTTAGGTTTCAAGAGATTAAGTGTTCTCACATGTGGTGCACTGCCCCTGATTTCCAGCCACCTTTGTGTTCCTCTGAACTCCAGAGAGAGAAGTTAAAAACTCATCGGACGTGATCGTTCCGGACCGGTCAGTGCTGATTAACTGGTGTCGCGCTTCCCCAGCTGACTTGAGAGCTACTGAACTCGGACGGCGTCCTTGGGAAGGCTCGTAAAGAACTTGTGCGCCTTTAATCCAAACAGAAACCAAGTGGCAGATCAGAGGAAGTAAAACAGAGCTACTCATGCAGGAGTCACATCCTTTTCGGCGTCGGCTGCCACTGCCTGAGCGCGTTCGTTACCAAGTTCGCTCTGGGTGCAGCACCCGGGGAGCTGCCCGAGGGTGATGAACCCACGGTGCCTCCCGCCGCCGCGGCTCGTCCTGCTCCGTCACCGGCGTCGGAGCCTGGAAAGCGTGCGGGGAATCTGGCCGCACGTGGAGCGGGGGTCTGGCTGCCCGTCCGGCTCAGGGCCCTAATTATAAAAGCAGAGGCTCGGCAGGTATTAGCCCTTGCAGACTGAGCTTGTGACACTGAGTGGCACATGTGCCCCCGCCTGGCAGGGCTGTTCTGCACCCTTCCTCGTTTTTAGGGGGAGATTAGCTTGTCAGCAGCTGGCTGTGATGCCTTTCTGTTCTCAGTGCTGTGATCTCTTTCCACCTGAAACTTAAAACCAGCCCAGCAGCATCTTTCTGGGCTGCTGCCAGTGTGGAAGGGGAAGGGTCCTCTTAAGCGTGTCCCTCTCAGCCCACCGCTGGCACCGAGACCTTCCCATGCCAGCCCATTGCCACCGGTACAGGATCGTGTGATGTGGGGCTCTTCTGCCTCTGACGAGCACCTCCGGGACGGGATAGAGAAGCTGCTTAGCAGAGCACACATGTGCACCGCAGAGCAGGAGCTCAGATCATCCTGCCCACGCCAACGTCTCAGCTGCGGAGGCAGCGGCTCCGTGTCGGCGGGGTGGGGAGCGGGAGCTCCTCGGGAGCTGGTCGAGCTGCATCTCCTCCTGCAGAAGGTGCTTCCAGCAGAGCCATGTCCCCTAACGCCAGGTTAGGGCAGGGCACGTCCCATGACTCAGAGCACAGGCTCCTGCAGGAGCTGGTTTTATTTGTTTTCCAGGGAACGTCCTAACCCAGCCCTCGGAGGCTTGTGGGCTCTGACACAGCTTGGCACAGATCAGCGCAGCTCTAGGCTAAACCGAAAAGGCACTAGAAGCCCTGAGGGCATCTTTCTTGCCCCCGCCACTGATCACAGAGGATTGCTCACAAATTTATATTTTATTTTTTGTAGTGCATTATGTCTCCTGTATTTAGCTGGCCCTGCTGTCTCGATGCGTCTCGGTCTGTAATGCATCTTCACTGCCTGGCGCTCGGGACCACGCTGTCACCCGCACGGGGTAAAGCGGGCAGAGTGCAGCCTGGAGCCGCCTTCCAGCCCCAATCTCCCCAGCCCCAGCAGGGCCCCAGGGCTGTGCCTGGGATCCCTGTGCCGAGCCACCCTGAGCACCCAGCTGATCACAGCTGCTTTCTTTTTCATGCATTTCTTTTCATTTGCAGTAGATGATTTGTAAACGAGACCATTCCTTGCTTTTGTTCTTGTTGGAGCTCACAGAGCCTGAAATTCCAGGAGATGGGTTACCTGGCTTTGGCAAGTCACGGGGGTGGGATGGAGGAGGAAAGGATGGATGAAGGCATTTTAGATAACTCATTCTCAGCTTGTGGTTGCGGTAGCATTTTCCACTCCTACCCTTGTTTGCGGGGCAGAATTGCAGTGCCCCATGCTTTAAAGTAACTTGGGGTGGAGCATCACCGTTTCAGAGGTGTCAATGCTCCGCTCTGCTGGCTCTGGCAGGATCCGTAGGTGGCATTTACAGTCTTTCCAAGAGCGTCTTCAGCCTCCTGGTTTGACTACCAGTGCTTTAGGGTATGGCTTTAAACCAGGCAGAGCAGGCACCCAGCAGTGGATGTTTAGCCAAGGCTTGCAAGAGTGCCACGTCCAGCATCACCAGCAGCCTTGCAGAAACCCAAACTGCTCAGACCTTCCTCTCCTTTGCCTTCTCCAGCATAGCCATTGCACCAGAGGAGGAAGCTAGAGAGTTTGATGGGATTTCTCACGGAGCCTGGGGTCGGTGGTGGGTGCTTTGCTGCCCGAGGTTGCACTGGTGATGGATGCACCGCTCGCCGCCGGCGTGCAGGAATGGCGCCGGCAGCTCGTGGCACGGCTCATCTCTCATCTTCTCCGTCAAACGTTCCAGTGTTTCTTCCTGCTTCCTTTTTGCTGCCAGCCGAGATGGGGAGGAGGCGTCCTCGCTGCAGGAGGAGGAGGAGAAAGAGGAATGTGGCGTTACCGCATTGCTGAGCGCAGCAGGGTAAGGGCAGGCACACCCAGGCTGCGGGCACACCTCGGCGGAGGCGGAAGCTGGGCCAATGTTTCACATACTGTAGCCTAAGGGACAATAATTTTTTTTTTTTCCAGCTGTGTGCATCCCCCTTCGCTGAGCTCCCGCTCCTTGGCTTGCAGGCGCGCTCGGCGCGAGGCCTGGGAGGTGACAGCACACGCAGCAGCGCAACAGGAGCAAAGACCCGGGGTCGTCTGACATGGTCTGCTGAGCCCCCCCCAGCAGGGCAGAGGATGTGATTTGGGGGTCGTTTCAGTAAAGTAAATGGAAAAGGCTTGATGTAAGTTTTTCCGAGGATGAAAAACTGTGTTGTAGCTGAAACGCAGCACGTGAGCGGTGCCTGGGAGCCCTGTGTGCGGGGGGGTGGGGGTGGCTGTGGCCATGTGTGCGGTGCTGAGCTGTGCTCCCAGCCTCATTCGCCCAACAATCCTCGGTTTGAACAGATTTGTTAACAAATTTGTTACTTTGCTGGCACAGTAAAAAAAAAACCAAAACCAAACATTCATGATGCTGTTTCCATTAATATCAATGTAAAGCAGCAGTGACCAATTAACACCAATTAATACACCAGTTTCCATTAATGCCAATGTAAAGTGCGGGAGAGCTCCGAATTAGGTTGAAGCAGGGAGAAGGGCTCCTCATCAGCTGGGCATGCTCTGCGGGTCTGGCTCTTCCATACGCTCCCATGTTAGAAACCACCCCAGTGTGATAGAACCCTCCTGGAAATCTCAGCACTTTTCTAGGTACACAGACAAGAATTATGTTTCTTAAAAAGTTTGATGACTCTCAGACTTGTTTTTGCAGCGGGGGAGTCCGCAGGATTGCGTTCTGTAGGTAATCCTTGAGATCACCGTGTGTCATTTTGTGTCTTGAGGAATTCCAGTCCCGCAGACAGTGGAGGGGCTGCATCACCAAGTCTGCCTGTAAAGCCCGGTCGCTGTGCTCGAGGTCGCCTGCGGGCTGAAGTCTGATACGTGGCTACACGGTGTGACTATAACTCGTGTGGCCATCCCTAATGAGGCTTCAAATGATCCAGTTTAGGTGCTGGTAGCGGTGCTGCCGTGTCGCTGCGATGCTGAGCGCGGTATGCAAAGCCTGTCTGGGAGGGTGGGTAAGCATTTGGGTACCTTGCTGGGTGCTGAGCCTGGTTTCAAGCTGAGCTGGCGATGTCCCCGTGATGGCCACGCGAGCCCCGGGTGGGGTTGCCTGCAGATGGGCTTTCACTGGCCGGTTACCTGCGGAGCAGCCGGGTCACGCTGCTGTCATCTTCCTCCAAAGTGATTTATGTCTGCAGCCCTGCGCCCTGTCTGGGAGCTGCCGTGAGTTAGACGGTAACTGGGTGTGTGTGTCTGCAGATCCCTGAATCACTCCCTTTATCGTTACTGCACCCACAGGCACCTTCTCTCCCAGGTGAGGCAGCAGCATCTTAAAAGCCGGGCGGGGAGGGGGCCA